ATTATGAGTACAGAACTTGGCTTGATTAAGGCCAAGTTCCGTACTTCCATATGTAAAAAAAAAAAAATTGAATCTTAGTCTGATATAAATTGAGTCTCTAATTTGTAGCAGCTAGAGAAATGTTTTTGAAAGTATAGTATATGGGTAAATAATTTTTTTTTTTTAGTATTGAGGTCAAATTGCCTTTGTTTACAGACAAGTGTTAAATGATTTTGAAATTATGCTGTAAGATCAAGAGACAAAAACGTAATTAATTTTTAGTGTGAAAAGACAAAACTATCCCTCAATTTATTTTTAAAAAACTCCTCAACCAGTCGTTGAAGCTCCGATGTCGGTGGCGAACCGCCCTACTGGACTAGCCATATGAGCTCTAGCAGATCAAGCCAGACCACTGCCGAAGCTTTGACATTGATCACCATACTGGCAAGTAAGGCTGACTATTTTTTTTTTAAGGTGGCCAAAATGAAATTTGAACCCATATCCTCGTGCCACCAAAAGGATTGTTAGCCACTAGGCTAACAAATCATTTTAATTATATAATGCAAATTTTTATATATATACTGAACTCTATTTACACTTTTCATGCCAACATTTATCAGAAGCTCAATGGTTACTTGTCATTTTACAAACGGCTACTTATTAAACTACTAATAGGATTTGTTAAAAATTTTAATACACATTGATTTTTAGAAATGCTTTCTTGATTTTATTACCAAGAATGAAAAATTTCCATTAGCAATTTAACAAGTAACCATTTGTGAGATGACAAGTCTTGTTACTGGCTTTGAAAATTTCTCTTAATAACTTGATAAGAAAATTTTAGCAAAATAACAAATTCCTATGAGCTTTTGACATATAAAATTTTAATAATAAAAACAAGTAAACATTTATAAAAACCACTCCATTAAATTTTTTTGACAAGTTCCCATTGATAATTTAACAAGTAACCATTCATGAAATGACGAGTTTCGTTATGTTTTAAAATTTGCTTTCACTTTTCATGCCACTATTTATCAAAAGCTTAATTGTTACTTGTCATTTTATAATAGCTACTTGTTAAATTAAGTAACGAGACTGGTCATGATAAGTAATGGGACTTGTCATTATTACTTAAGTAGCCGTTTGTAAAATGATAAATAACTATTAAGTTCTTGATAAGTATTGACATGAAAAGTGAAAGCAAATTTTAAAATATAATAGGACTTATCATTTCATAAATGGTTACTTGTTAAATTATCAATGGAAACTTATCAACAAAATTTAATATGAAGTAATTTTTATAATGTATACTTGTTTTTATTACTAAAATTTTACATGTCAAAAGCTCATAGGAACTTGTTAGTGTTCGTTTGAATTTCAGTTGGGTATAATAGATTATGAAAATAATTGATTAAATGGTAGATTTTAATCATAATTGATTATGTTATAACACAATCTGTTTGGATACTATTTTTTTAAAATTAATTTTAACAGAATTGAAGATGTTTAAATAATTTATTTAAAATTAATTTTAGCTGTATAGATTACCATAAAGGACATTGCTTTTTAAAATTAAATTATTGATAAATTTATATCTAATATTATTAAAGTTGTTACATTTTATTTAAGAAGTAAAATATATTATTTAAATTACATATCTAATTAATTAAAAATTTAAATTATTAACATTTAAATTTATAAGTAACTCAATATATGTTAGTTAAAATAAATTTAATAAAAGAAAAATATTTAATTCTTAAATATCAAACATCAATTTTACAACAACTAATGAAGATAATAATATACAAGTTGATCTCTAATGATATTATGAATATTAGTCATAGCTGATGAAGAAGATGTCATGGATGATGGTAAGGATGAATATTTATCAATGTCATAGTTTTCTTGATACTTATGCTCTTCCTGATTTTCCCTTTCATGACGCATAAAATCAGAATCAAAATTAGAGTGTATTCTAATGAAATTATATATTGCCATTGATGCAACAAACAATCTGAACTTGTATATCATAGTCAATAAATATTCTAGTATTGCTATGGTCCCATGAAGCTTTTGATTTATCGTTATTCATTATGCTATATAAAATTAATTGTATGAGAATAAAAAAAACTAACGGATTAATTATAGAAATTATAATTAAAACATTACATGACAAAAACTTGACAATATTTAGTCATCAAAATTTAACACCAACCAACCAATATTTCTATTATGTTCTTTATACTTCACATTTTTTTAAAAGAATAATGCAAACTTCAAATACCTATTAGCCGTATTTAATTATTTAAATATACATACATTTGCTTGGGCCAAGCCATACCAAATCAATTTTTCATGTTTCCATTGAAATATGGAACATCTTTTTCAATTTCTAGAGGAGCTAAAATCAACTTTCAACAGATTAATTTTATTCTTTCCCTACATCAAAATCTAGCAAAGAAAGGAATCAAAATTTGTCAATCCACCTCCTAGCTTGTTTGTGAGAGCATCTTGCTTTCCTATAGCAAGCCATGAGTTCAACTAGGCACAAAAACTTTACAAAGAAATAGCAAAATATACAAGCCACAACTAAGCTCAAAATCAAGAGAAAAACTCCACACCAGTCAAAACAAAGTCTTAGAAAAAAAAATAGAGTGTACCAGATCATTCAAAATAATGGTTGGAGAAGATCATTTACCTCTTAGCCTACTCAATACTTCACTCAAACAAATCAACGGAGATGGGAGATGAAGACACTGAACGACAAGTAGATTAAAGTCAGGGTGAGTAGATTGAGGCAAGACTAACCTTCTTTAACTATGGTCGGAGATTATTGTTGCTGGCCAAAGCTCGAAGATTGCAGATGGCGATCAAGGATGCCACAAGGATTGTACAGGACAAGGACCACAGATTTACACATAGATCGTGGATGGCCGAAGATCGTTGCCTCTGGCTGTAGATCGGAGACAACAGATGGTGACCACATTAGGGGTGGGAAGATGATGATGGAGAGACAGCACAAGGAAGCCATAGATCGATGAGGCTGAGAGATGAAAAACATGAGAGAGGGAATGATAAATGAGATAATACACATAAACAAGGGTAAGGGTAATATTGGCAAGTGGATCTGACAAAATAATTAATGCTACAATGGTAAAAAAAAATTTCTAAAGTTGGTTTAGATACATTATCAAATAATGTGCGTTTTGGCTATTTAATCGATTTTTGGGTTTTCCTACTACTTGGATAACTTGGCCTAAAAAATTGATTTTGGGCTAATTAATCGATTATTCCTCTTATCCAAATACACACTTATTTTGCTAAAATTTTCTCGTTAAGTTATTAAGAGAAATTTTCAAAACTAGTAACAAGACTTGTCATTTCACAAATGGTTACTTGTTAAATTATTAATGTGGACTTGTTAAAGAAATTTAATATGAAGTGGTTTTTGTAAATGTTTACTTGTTTTTATTAATAAAATTTTACATGTCAAAAGCTCATAGAAACTTGTTATTTTGCTAAAATTTGCTTGTTAAGTTATCAAGAGAAATTTTTGAAGTTAGTAATGGGACTTGTCATTCACAAATGGTTACTTGTTACATTATCAATGTGGATTTGTCAAAAAATTTAATATGAAATGGTTTTTATAAATGTCTGCTTGTTTTTATCACTAAAATTTTACATGTCAAAAGCTCATAAGAACTTGTTATTTTGCTAAAATTTTCTTGTCAAGTTATCAAGAGAAATTTTCAAACCTAGTAATGGGACTTGTCATCTTACAAATGGTTACTTGTTAAATTGCTAATGGGAACTTGTCATTCCTAATAATAAAACAAATAAGCATTTATAAAAATTAGTGTGTATTAAATTTTTTTAACAAGTCCCATTAGTAGTTTAATAAGTAGCTGTTTGTAAAATGATAAATAACCATTGAGCTCTTGATAAATATTGGCATGAAAAGTAAAAACAAAGTTAAGTATATATATATATATAAAATTTGTATTATATAATTGAAAGAATTTGTTAACCTAATGGCTAACAATCTTTTTAGTGGCCAACAAGATGTGGGTTCAAACTCCACCTTAGCTACCTTAAAAAAAAAATAGTCCACCTCCCTCATCGGTTCGGTGATCGACGCTAGAGCTTTGGCGATGGTCCGACTACTACTACCAAAGCTCATATGGCCGGTCAATTGGGGTGGTTTAGCTATCACTGTTGGAGCTCTGGTGGCTTGTGGCTGAGGAGTTTTTATTTTAAAAAATTGAGGGATAGTTTTGTCTTTTCATACTAAAAGTTAATTACATTTTAGTCTTTTGGTCCTGCAGCATAATTTTAAAAGTATTTGGTATTTGTTGGAAAATAAATTCTTTTAGTAGTCCTTGACTGTAATTTTTCCTAAATGTTTTGAAGCTGGGTGGAGAGTGGAGAATGGGTGAGAGGAGGAGAAAAAAAGGACAGGAAGTAAAGTCCGCATGGCAGAGATCAGCTTTTTTTCAACTTGAAACGAAAGGTAGCATTTTGAAATTTAAGAACAAAAATAAAGAAGGAGATTATTTTGACTGGCCATGTTAAAAGAAATATTTGCACGGAGCCGGTACTGTGGCTTTATTAGACGCATTTTAGAAGCTAAATTTGGTCCTCAATGTAAGTCATTGACTGTTGACAACTCTGCATTTTAAAACAAAATTTTTAATCTTTATTTTTTTTTTTGACTTCTCTGACTATTTTTCTCAATTTATTTTGGCTTCTCTTTCAAGCTTTGGCCATTGATTCATCAGTAACTTTTTTACTGTAAAAGTCCCATGAAATATTAAAAAATAATATTATATTAATTAATTATATTTTTTCTTTTTTTATTTTGAGAATTAGTTTTAAAATTTTATTTACAATAATTTTTTATATTATTGTTATATTAATATTGATAAAATTAATAAAAATAATTTATAAATATGATCCGAAGAACGGAAGAAGTATGACATACGACGAGATATGAATGAGAAATTGACGGCAGCAAGGGGGAATAAAAAAGCAACGTTTTTCATGTTTGTCATCGTCATCTCAAACGGCATCGATTCTGCAGAAATAAGTTATCGTCATCGAGTCGATTCTACAGAGCGCTTCCTTCACGAATGAAAATGCACTTTTCTCATCTCCATCATTTTGGCTGATCGAAAAGCTGAGTTTATTCTTTCCAGGAGTAGCTTACAGTAACTACGATGGGTACTGCTGCTTCAACTCCAAGCTTTTCCTCTCAACCGATTTCTTCAAAAAACTATGATGTGTTCATTAGTTTCAGAGGAGAAGACACGCGCAGAAATTTCACTAGCCATCTTTATACTGCTCTCACCCAAAAGTCCATAAGAACCTATATTGATTATCAGCTTCCCAAAGGTGATGACATCTCAGAATCGCTCATCCAAGCAATCAAGGATTCTCTTGTATCTGTCGTGGTCTTCTCTGAGAACTACGCTTCCTCAAAGTGGTGCTTAGATGAACTCTCCCAAATTCTCCGATGCAGGAAAGATCAGGGCCAGTTTGTTATACCTGTCTTCTACGAAGTTGACCCATCAGATGTTCGCAAGCAGAAAGGGACTTACCAGGAGGCATTTGCAAAACATGAGAGAGATTTCAGGCACAATCAGGACAAGGTGAAGAAATGGAAAGATGCTCTTTTCGAAACTGCCAATTTAGCTGGCTGGCACTCTCAATCCTTCAGGTAATTATTCCTTTACCAATATTGAATGATTTTCGAATTAATTATTTCTTGTCATTTGACTGGTTTCATCTTTTTCTGACTAGCCAGATCTTTGGTTCATCTAAGATTTTCATTTCAGGAAAATTAAAATTTTATAGACTCGTAACAAGTCATCCTGATCCATCACTTATATCTTAATACTAGCTATATGATGGCCAGTCCTGAAGCTATCAATGAGCACAAGAAACACAAATATAAAAGAGAGTGCATCTCATATAATAATATTAATCTCAGGAGCCGTACAAAACATGAATCAATCTTTTTTTTATCAATAATGTGTTTTTTTATTAATATTATAAACTGCTATGTTCAAAACTAATACTTAGTTCTTCAAATATAAGTTTTTCAACTTCTTTTCCTACGGTACTATATATATAAAACTTTTCTTTGTTTTGTTCAACATTTTTCATGTGCAGGGATGAATCTGAACTAATTCAGAACATTATCAACGATGTTTTGCGAAAATTGGATCACAGGCATCCAAGTATATTAGAAGGACTTGTTGGAATTGATGAAAACTGTGAATCTATTGAATTGTTACTGGAAAAAGTTCCAATAATTGGAATTTGGGGAATGGGCGGGATAGGCAAGACAACCATGGCTAAGGTTGTATTTGACAAACTATCTCCTCATTATCAAAGTTGTTGTTTCATTGAAAATATAAGGGAAGAGTCAAAAAATCATGGATTAAAATATATACGTGATAAGCTCGTTTCGGATCTTCTCATGGATGAAAACATACATTGGAGTCCACCAAAAGTCTTAGGATCTGATTTTGTTAGGAGAAGGCTAAGTTGGAGAAAAGTTTTCATTGTGCTTGATGATGTTGATAATCCAAAGCAATTAGAATATCTAGCAAAAGAATGTGATTGCTTGGGACAAGGCAGTAGAGTTATCATAACAACAAGAGATAAGCACTTGCTTATTGGAAGAGTAAATGAAATATATATGGCCAAGCCATTGAACTTTCAAGAGTCCTTCAAGCTTTTCAACTTGAAAGCTTTTCACAGAGATCATCCTGAAATTGGATATGAATGGCTATCAAAAAGGGTTGTTTTTTATACCAAAGGAAATCCTTTAGCTTTAATAGTTTTGGGTTCTTTTCTTCATTCCAAAACTAAAAAAGAATGGGATAGTGCATTGAGAAGATTGAAAAAGATTCCAAACCAAGATATTCAGGAAGCATTAAAATTGAGCTTTGATGGATTAAACGATGAAGAGAAGGAAATATTTCTAGACATTGCATTCTTTTTGAAAGGTGAAGTCAAAGAACATATAATACAGTTATTAGACAGCTGTGGATTCCATGCAAGCATTGGCATCAGAACCCTCCAAGATAAGGCTCTTATTACCATGGGAGAAAAAGTGTGGATGCATGACTTAATACAAGAAATGGGTTGGGAAATTGTTCGTCAGGAGTGCATCAAAGAACCAGGAAGACGCACCAGATTACGGGACCCTAAAGATGTCTATGATGTTTTGAGAAACAATCGGGTAAGAAAAAGAAGCCCTTCACCTCTTAAATAAACATGTGTGATCTATATGGTGACATATGTAGCTAGCATTGTTTAGCTTACTGACTATTTTTCTAATTTACATTATGATAATTGTTAGGGAACTGAAGCTGTTGAAGGCATAATATTAAACGTGTCTCGAATTAGAGATATATACTTGGCTGCCGACACCTTCAAAGAGATGACCAATTTAAGATTCCTTAAATTTTATTCCTCAAGCAATACTGGATCATGCAATGTGCACCTTCAAATGGGTCTTGAGTCTATTTCTAATAAAATGAGGTACTTTGAGTGGAATGGGTATCCTTCGAGCTCTTTGCCATCAACTTTTTGTGCTGAGAGCCTTGTTGAACTGAAAATGCAATTCAGCCAAGTCTATACACTTTGGGAGGGTGTGCAGGTACATTATGAATTAACAAGTTTTTCAGTTTTAAGGTCAATTGACATTTGAAGTCTTTCTGATATTTGTTAACTGTTGCAGGATTTTGTGAATTTAAAGAGAGTAGATCTTCGTTTTTCCAGAAAATTGATTGGGTTGCCAGATTTCTCTAAGGCCCAGAATCTTGAATCGGTGAATCTATATTACTGTGAAAGTTTGTGTTATGTTCATCCATCTCTCTTATCTCTCAATAGCCTTGTTTCGTTGGATTTAGGCAGATGCAAAAACCTTAAGAGTCTCCAAAGTAAGACTCATTTAAGATCTCTTAGAAAAGTCCTGGTTCATGACTGTCCTAATCTGACGGAATTCTCATTATCATCAGAAGAACTAAGATGTTTGTTTTTAGGATCGACTGGAATAGAAATTCTGCACCCATCAATTGGGAGTCTTACTAAGCTCAGAAGTCTTCATCTCAATGGTTCAAAATTGAAGAACTTTCCACTAAAGGAGTTGTGTTGCTTGAGATCTCTTGAGGATCTTGGCATCTACAAGCATGCATTCGACAAACCTGCGCTACATGTGCTATTTGAGAACTTGCGTGCTATACGGAAACTCTCTTTCCTGAATTGCTCTAACTTAACTGAGTTACCAAACAACATCAAGCAACTCTCAAGACTACAAAAGCTTTATTTAAGAAGTTGCAGAAATCTTCAATATTTACCAAAGCTTCCTCTATCCGTTAAAGAATTAGATGTCACCGATTGCACATCAATTTCAATCAACCGTAAGTTGTCAAAGGAAGTAGGAAAGCTGGTTCCAGCACTGCACGCTTCCTCAATTGGGCATCTTGCCAATCTCAAAACTCTACTTCTCAATGCTTCAAGTCTTGGCGATCTTCCACTAACTGAGTTATGTTGTTTTAGATATCTCATGGAGCTTCGCCTTCGTAAATGCAGACACCTAGTGGATGAACCAAAGCTACATATACTATTTGAATCCCTGCGATGTCTACAAATACTGGATTTGGAGGACTGTTTTAACTTAACTAAACTCCCCTACAATATCAGACATCTCTCACGGCTACAAAAACTTACTTTGAATGGTTGCACTAGCCTTCAGTTTCTACCACAGCTTCCACAGTCCCTTAGAAATTTTATTGTCAGTAATTGTACATCATTAGAGAAAGTGTTTGCTTCAACAATTTCAAGACTATTACGGGTAAATGGTCATAATTTCATTTCATTTCACAACTGTGAGAAATTGGATGTGCGTTCACGTTGTGCTATTGGGAAACATGTAGAGTTCTCATTGAAGCGAGCAGTACGTAACAAGCAAAGATTTACAGTTTTTTATCCAGGAAACAGCGTTCCGTTGTGGTTCGGGCATAATTGGTCAATGAAGGGTTTGGTAACTATTGAACTTTCTTTGGCTTCTGATCATTTATTGGGTTTTGTTTTCTGTTCTGTCATTCCTCAATTTGTCTCTAGGGAAAAAATTCAAGTGGCTGTGACTTGCAAGTGCTACTTTGAAGAAGGTGAAGCAATTGAATTCCAGATTTTTGATCCACAATATGCAGAATTCAGCTCAGATCATGTTTTGCTTTGTTGTGATCCATACTTCTCTAAATTAGTATTGGAGAGATTTAAAGGAAGCAATGGAAATGATGGAGACGCCACTTGTAACCAAAAGATTTTGTTCAGCTTCGTTTCTTGTGATGGCTTCATCCAAGAGTGTGGGATCTGCCCCATATATGCCTCTGAATATCAAAATTTTGTTCGACAAAGGAAAATGAAGCACGACTTGGGCAGGAGGTCAAAGAGGCATCGAGACATTGATGAATTAGAGTTGGAACCCAGTAAATTTGAAATGGGAATTGGAAGCTGTGATGGGAAAGAAACATTGCCTCTATGCAAAAAATTGAAAATGGATTTGTGGACTCTGTCTAAAGGACAAGAAGATATTGAAGAATTGGAAGCGTTGCTCATGAGAATCAAAATCCGCTAGAATCACTTCTTCAACAACACTAACAAATTACTAGTGGTATTAAACTTTCTATCATTACTTAACCATCAATATTCAATATCTCCCTCTTACATTTTATTTTTGACTTTCTTTCTGTGTGATTCCTCCAAAAAATTAGGAGCGTTTGCTCATACTTGATGATGGCACTCTCATAGCTGGTTTATCACTTTTACATGCTGGCAAGTGTGAAATATAGGTTTGGGCATAGTAAATGTTAGGTCTTAGCTTTTATATAGAATGTAATTGTCAAGTTTTTTAAAAACATGGTCTTTTTTCCTTTTGTTTTTGAACTCTACAAATCTGTTCTTTGATGTCCTTGTCTAAAGTTATTGCTTTCATGACTGCTTTTTGACTTGGTGCCATCAGCAGGTCCTTTTTTGGAGGACTTTTGAAATCTGATGAACTAGGAGTCAGGCGCCCATCTTGTTCGTGCTGCGATGCTTCTTAGTTTCCGAAGGAATATCAAAAATAATTTGAAAATGCAGAAACATAACAGAAGTTCTCAGTGCTTATGCTTTTATTATTCAGGCAATTTCTTCTGTCTTCATTACTGTTTTGCTTTCTTTGCTATGCTTTCTTCTTTTTATATGCTGTTTGAAGAACTCTATTAAATCAGGTTGTGTGGCTCAGTATTTTAAACTTAAGCTTATCTTTTCGGTGTTCGTGTAAAGTATTATATTCAAGATGTTATTAATTGTGGATTGTGAAGAGACATTGATTGTGCAGGAATTTCATCTCCTTGCTTGGACCATTTTCTGCGGCAGAGGATATCTTGATAAGGCTAGTAACGCACTGCAGAAGAACTGTTTCATAGCTAATCTTAATCATACTTGTAATGAGGCTTGAAGCTAGCAAGTACAATGGTATTTTATGGTGCAAGTGTGGTGGTGTGTATGGTTCTTGTAAATTTAAGTGTCTACTTGTTATAAGGATTACAAGTTACCTGCTCTGTGGATGTTTCTTGCCTTCTGTGATTCCATTTAATGAAGTGAATCGAGTTTTTTTTTTTTTTTTAATAACAATTGAGTAATTTCATTTCATGAAAATCGTAGTTTTAGAACTCCATGTCAATGAGCTATTACTCCTTCAAAATGAGTTCTAGATCGAAGTCGCTGAATATAATCAAACTGATTTTGATTCACATACATTGATGTTTAATTTGTGGATGAAACCAAAGTAGAGACTTGAAAACAGAGCATGAACGAACGTCCCAAAACTTGCGCAAGCCAACTTGCCATATTATAGTTATTGTGGTTATTATTATCGCAGATGATCGGTCCACGTTGCTTGGCCTTTTCCACTATCGGGGGGTGTTTGGATTTAAGTTGGAAAATTAAGTTTCGTTATAAAAATTGATTTTAAATATTGAAAAATATAATTGAAAATTGGGTAAATTTATGGTTAATTTTTTGAAAATAGAAACACACCCCCATTACATACTAAAATTAATCATAAGTCAAAACCATGATTTTCTTGAAAAATATTTAAACACCCCAATCACATGTTAAAATAAATTATAAATTTAAAACCATAATTTTTTTAAAAAATATCCAAATACACACACACTAGTATCAAAATCAATTATAAATGCAAAATAATATTTATCTCATATATTATTATCACATGCTCTTCAATTTAGCTTTTTAAGTATACTTTTTTTTTAAAAAAATGTCAAAAACCATATAAACTCTATTAAAAAAATATCACTCCAAATCCTTATACTTCAATTGTCTATTATATGCAGTCCTTGGAGTTTATTTTAGTTGTTCCTCATCCTTTCTATTTCCATATGCATCACAAAATCAGTTATAAAACTAAAACCATTATTCAAGCATTTTTGTAAATTGCAAATTCAAGACATCGTGAATTAAATTTTATTTTGTTTAACTCTGACCATTTTTTTCTTCAAAATTGCTAGTAATTAAAAGCAGACTTTAATGTTCTGTTTAGGATAAACCTAAAATTGTTTTTCACATGAGATCCAGTGAGGGCATGCACCGGATCAAATCCCATGCAGTGAAAATGGTGCAATGTTTGGGATAAAATGTGATCATTAAATAAAATGCATCGTATGTGATCTGCCCGGGCACGCGTCCCTTTAATATGCAGTTGGCTTCCCAGCGGAGGTGTGGAATTTAAATCCTTCAGTTAAAGTCAAAAATAAAAGGTAGGGTTTAGAGGTCAAATTTGAATGTTCTATTTAAATAAGGGTTTAAATTTTAAAAATAATTTTTTTTAAAGTAATCGAGTTTGAAAACTTGGTCTTGATAAGTTCTGTAAAAAAGAGCTTGGCCCAGATGGCCCTTTAAGCTCTATTATATTATTATTATTATTATTATAATAATTATTATTATTACTTTCTTTGGTGAAACATATATTTGAACTCAATAACCTGCTCATCTAATCTACATGCATTATATTATTATTAATTTTAATTTATTTTAAAATTACTTTAATATAATTTAATAAATATCAGTGTATAGAATAAAAATGTTAATATTTTTTATTTTTTTATAATTATTATGTTTGTGTATTTATAAAAAGTGAACTGTTTTTTAACTAAGATTTAAATTTTATTACTAGACTTCTAAATATGTGTTATTTAATTTCTAAAAAATTATGAGGATTTTAATTTTTTTAATTTTAAAATATTTTAATTAATTTATAATGTTTAATTTTATTTTATTTTTTTATTTTTTAAAGTCCTGAGCCCTTCACATAAGGATCGAGCTTAAAAAATGGGGTTAAAAATGGAGAATTAGGATTTAGGGCTCAGGCTTTTATTGAACCCATAAGAGCCCCACCCGCATTCCTAGCTCTACTTCAGATTTAATATTTTTTATTTTACATTTTTAAAAATAAAAATTATATAAATTGTAAAAAAAAATTTAATAAATCTATTCACTCATCTAAACAGTTTAGATTTAATATAAAAGTCCACATTTAAGATCAATTTTTTTAAAAATTAACTTTCTAAATATATTTTGAACAGTATAGATTTAATATTAATTTTTTTTATAGATTGGTGAACAAATTTATTAAAATGTTTATAATTTATATACCTTTATTTTTAAAATAAAAATAAAAAATAAATTCCATATCTTTTCAGCAAAATCGCTGAGGAGAGAGAGAAGCTGACACCCTTTAATATGGAAGCCAATGCATGCAATATTTTGCAAAATACTTAAGTAACAGATGCTATTAATTTGGCCAAAAAAAAAAAACAGATATTAATTAAAACACACTGCTTTCAGGCACGATTGACCCTACCATCACCTTCCCATCCTCAGTCGGTGAAAGTTTCAGGAAAGTAACCGAGCGATTGAATTTTTATTCAAAGTTTCCACCATAATGATTATGCAAGGGAACATGGCATGTCGTGATTTCTTTGTCTAAATTGAATGCCATGTAATATGTTCCAAAAGAAATATTACATAGTTTAAAAAAATTAATTAACTATAATAATTATATTTAAAAATAAAAAAATAGATTAAAATGCTCCATGTTAATCAATATATGCATGTATTAATTTTTTTTCGTTAATGTAAATTATGAGGGGTAATTTAAAAAATATATAATAAATATTTATTGAACTAAGTGATTCTGCTTATATAAAAAAAAATAAGTAAAAAATAATAGTTTCTCTTACAAATAAAAACAGAGGGAGTATGGTATATTTATTTTATTTTTTTATATTGCCCTTTTTAATGTTGATACATTTTTCCAAAATTACATTATATGAGTTTAAATAAGAATAAAATTGAATACTTTTTAAATTTTTAGATAAAGTTATGGGTTTAAAACTCCTTATTAATTTTGATGATACTGCTGGACATGCCTTAGAAAAGGCATAATTATTATTGCATCCAGCCACATTAACTCATCAAGTCAAGGAAGCTGCTGCAGTGAAGCATCCGAGTAATTGGGATTGAGTTGATGTTGATCAATTTTCCAAAAGAATTATTATTTAATTTATTTATTGGTATTAAGTTTCAATATCATCCATTAAACGTACAACCGTTTCACATGCAAATGCAATTTCCCCAAAGACTTGGCTTCATGAACTCCACATATTACCAATCTCTCCTTTGGACTCAATAAGCCATTAACAGCTACTAATCTATGTATTATGCCTCATGCATGCTTGTTATATTGTGTGAGCTGCCCACCTTGTGTGTCCATTCAAACCCTATGTTGTGCTAATTTCATTAATGTATTACAAACAAAAAAATAACAATTAATCATGCGTCAAAATATGAATATCGTAGTTCATTTCGAGTTAATGCGTGAGATCCACTTTAGTTGATTTATTTAGAAAAGTTGCCTTTGCCGATAAAATCATCGCTAACGTGCCTGCAAGTTTTCCAATGTGAAAAGGATAAATTCACTTACTGTTTATCTCTCTCTCTCTCTCTCTCTCTCGCTGAAGACTTAAAAGTCAGTCAAGTCTATTATCTGCTGCCATACTCAATCGTCAGTATTTCCATTTCTCGGCAAAGAAGAAAGTGAGAGAGAGCAGATCTGTTTGCTTGCCGTGTACCTCGAATAGCTGATCAGAATACCATGGGTGCTGCTGCTTCATCAGCATCATCATCATCATCATCGTGTTCAGAAATATGAAGTGTTTCTGAGTTTCAGAGGAGAGGACACTCGCAGAACCTTCGCCAGCCATCTCCACACTGCGCTATGCCTGAGAGGTATTGAGACCTGCATAGATTATCAGCTCCCAAAAGGTGATGACATCTCGGACTCACTGATCCAAGCAATTCAGGATTCAAGTATAGCTGTGGTGATCTTCTCTCAGAACTATGCCTCCTCCAAATGGTGTTTGAATGAACTCCGTGAGATCCTTCGGTGTAAAGAGCAGCAGGAACAGCTTGTGGTTCCTATATTCTACGAAGTAGACCCATCTCATGTACGCAATCAAAGGGCATCTTACGAGGAAGCATTCGCAAAACATTTGACGAAAAACCCAGACAAGGTGGATCAGTGGAGACAAGCCCTCTTTGAAACTGCGAGTTTAGCTGGCTGGGACTCTCGCCTCTTTGAGTATGTCTTCCTTCATTCCTTAAAAGTTTTAACTAAATTTTTGCATCATCAGTACGCGTCATTACCAATTAATTGGCTTCAATTCATCGTTTATTGCAATTAAACCTTTGATTATCTTGCTGATCAGAATCTTTTTTTTCTTTCCTTGAGTTCATAATACAATATAATTGTGTTGTTAACTTCTCTGACAACTGATTAGAAATTGTATTTGTAATTGGTAGTTCTGGATTATAATTTTGGGGTTACTTCCGTCTTTCAATTTAGTGGACTTATCTTCTAATTGTACGTTAGCTCTGAGCTTGGTCATCCTTTTTTTTTTTTTTATCTAATTCTCGGTACCAATAACTTCAATAGCAGAGTAAATCACACACACACACACATGATATTACACTTTTTTTTTTATCATAATTAAAGTTATCTAGATTTTATAGACTTTTCTGAATCATTCAAAGTTATGTACAACCTTTAAAAACAAAAAG